TTAACCCGAGAAAGATAACCATATGACAACGTACGTAAAAGATAACCATACGCTTCAGAGGCGCATGCTTTTCTAAGGTGTCAATTTTATACTAAAAATGGATATTTATTTAAGTTAATCTAGTCATTTTAAAGGTTTGGTATTATTGTAAAAATAAAATGCATTTATATTATATTTTTTTATATTTTAAGTAATTTTAAACTTAAATCACTAGACCTCTATGAAAAATTAACAAAAATCAACAGTCTTCGCAGGCGCCTCTGCGACGTAGGTTATCTTTCTCGGGTTAACGGAACTGTTGCAACAGAATGAGTCTGCTGAATGAGTCTGAGCTAATAAGTTCACCAAATTTCGAGTAGTAGCAGATCTCACCGATAAAATTGTACCTGTATTAATTGATTCGTTTATCAATTTTTCTATGTATATTTGTGATGTGTACTTTTTTTAGACACGTCAGTCGTTGTATTAGACTATGTACCAGAGTGCAGATTTTACGAATTTATGACAAAAATGAGTAGATCAAATGCAAAATAGTAAAAACATTCGAATCTATAGAAATATTATGGTCATATTGATATCAATTGAATTCAATCAAATTATTAAGAAACGAAATGATTTTTCTACGAAGTTCCTGCATTTTGAAATTAATAATGACTTAACACCAGTAGTAGGTTCATTCACCAACTTTTATAAATATATTTTTAAAGATAATTGTTCTAGACATATATATATAAGACTGCGAATTTTATTGATTTATGACAAAAATGTGTAGATCGAATGCAATGTTTCACTAACAAATTAATTAACAAATTTATGTAGAATCCTCACATAAAATTCTCGCAGAATGATCGTATTTGCTATCAATTGAACTGAAATCGGCCATCGACGTAAATCGCTACGAAAATCTGCGAGTTCCAGCAGCAACGAGACACGCTCGAAGCGCATAAATTCTGCCGGTCTGATCGGCGCGATTAGGTGTGGACAGTTTCTCCGGAGGATCGCGGAAAGGAGCGCGCAGGGACGAAAAACGGGAAACGAGATGCTCGGAAGAAGGGAGAAGGAACGAGGACGCGCAACGTGGGATAATAACTTGATTACAACGGCGATGTTTTATCGAAAAATCATAAAGCAATTAATAACGTTCATTAGAGACCAGAGAGCCGGGAACGCGGAGAGGCGCGCTCGTCTTTTGCGGGGCCAGGCTAGTTGGCTCTCGCGCGAGCGGGCGAGTTGCGCGTCCGCGCGCGTTCACGATAGCAATTCCGTTTGATAGGTAATTAGACGAGGGAGCCGGGTAATTGCGTTAATTGAGACCGAGACGAAGCGCGTTGGAACGTTGCGCAAAGCTTGGCTAGATATATGGAACCGTTCCGTTCCACACGCACGCAGCCCGTGGTCTCTCTAATCGCTCTAATCGCGGTTCTTCTTGCCTGGAAATAACGCCGGGGATCGCCTGCGAACCCGTCTCGAGTGCTCCCGACGCGTACCTCGTTTATCTCTGTTAGACGTCGCTCCTCGGCTCGAAGGAAATCTCCTTTCGCGGAACGAGCGTTTTGCAACGGTCCGAACAATCTCGCGTTCCTGCCGCGGAAAAAATCCTGCCCGAGCGAGACGCTGGCCGCCGGCTTTTGCCGCTTTTTCCGCTATTTCCCAAAGAAAACCGCGAACAATCTCGCTGTCGATTACGCTGAAAATCGAGGATCGGGGACGCGGGGTCCAGAGGAGAGGATCGTCGTCGCCGATCCTTAAAGGGTGTCGACAACGCCGCGATTCCCGATCACTCGCGGAATTTAACGCGTTGCGGAAAGACGTACGGTTTTCGAGGCCGGGATATATTTCACGGCAGGCTGGTTCGTAACGATCGAACGACTGTTTGCACGGATGCTCGTCCCTTAATGCGATCCTCGAGGATTTATCGCAGGAAATCCCGGCCTCCACCTGCC